AAAAAAAAGAATTCCCTTCTCACTTAACGTTTCTGAGCCACATATTTTAATCAACGATTGTCAGTTGTTATATATATATAGCATCTGGGTATTCTAATTATGTGCCTGTGTGTGTGCATGTATTTTATCACAGAAGATCTTATTCTTTAGTTTGTCCACAGTGTTGAAATAGTTTTCTTCTTTTCTTCTTCTTCAGCATTCCGAGCCCTTCAGGTTCATAGCTGCAGATATCACCCGCCTCCATTTAGCTCTCTCTGGCTAGCCTTTGTTTTCCAGTTGGTAACACCAAGTGTTTGCATGTCTGTCTAGATATTATCTCTCCATCGTCTTCTTGGTCTCCCTCGTGGTCTACGACCATTCAATTCCCTGGTGCATACAATCTTTACTTCTCTGTCATTTGACATTCTTTCAATATTCCCCAACCATTTCAGTCTATTAGCTCTCATAACACAGGGATCAGTGGTGATTTAAACAGATTATGAATTTCATTTTTGCTTCTAACTTTTCATTCACCGCTGTTTGCATCTTTAATGGCTCCAAAGATTTGTCGCAAGACTCGAAAACCTGTAATAAGGCTTCATCTCTTATAATTGTGATCCAAGTGTCAGAGCCATTTAACAGGATTGGTTTTAACAACGTTTTAAACATTTTGATCTTGGTGTTGCGAGACAGACACTTTGACATAAGCAGATGTTGAAGGTCATCGTATTCTTTATTTCCAGTTTGTGCTTTATTTTTTTTAAGCCGCGTTGTGACACAAAGTACTTTTTCCTAATCTTTGAGTATCAGAGGGTTTAGCATCACAGGCCCAAGGGGTAGTCAGAAGAGACTAAAATCGGCGCATCATTCGTTCATTAGGCTTCTAGGCAGTAACATATGAACGTATGATGCGTTCCTTAGGACTCAAAGAGTTAATATTTGGTTCACATGTTAATATCTCTTCCTGTTGATAAGCATTAAGTCGGGTTGCACAGTTTAACAATTCAGCAAAGTATTGCTTCCATCTGTTACATATTTCCACATAATTATTTTTCATGTTCCAATTGTGATATTCTAAACTTTAAAGGCCCTGTTGAGGTCCTCGTTTTACAGCCTTCTGTTCTTTACCAAAACTTGTAGGATTTGTTGTTCTGATGATTAGCTTCCATATCCATGACAATGTTGTTCATGTATACTCGCTTCTGGTGCCGAACTACTTTTGTAGCTTCTTTAGATTCGGTTCTATATTTATCTTCATTTCATATCTTACTAGTATCTTTAGCCATATCTGCCTGGCATGTTTTTTCTTACTGACTGCTTCTTCACATTTTGTATGGAACCATTGTTTCTTTCTGTTTATGGTGGACACATTAGGACATTCTTCTGCTGTGGTTTGAATTATATTCTTAATATCCATCCAGGTTTGGTCAACATCTTCCTCTGACGGAAATTTTAAAATTTTAATTTTTTTTTTTTTGTAGCTAATCTGCAAATTTATTTGATATGGATGTTTCTTGTAATCTTTCTCTATTTTACTCTGGATGTTATCTTTGTAACTTGATGAAGAAGGATCTGTTCAACTTGATTTTTAATTTTGCACCTACCAGGCAGTGGTCACTATGACACTTAGCTTCTCTGTAGCTTCTAACCTGTATGTTTGAGGCATTTCTAATTATTTATTAAAATGTTATCTATCTTATTATAAGTTATCCTGTCACATGATTGCCAGGTTTGTTTATGTATATCTTTTCTTTGAAATCTGGTGCTGCTTATCTGTAGTCATTTCGCTACAGCGAGGTTGATTAATCTCCATCTATTAACGTTTGAATTAGTATGTAGGCTTTCTATTCCTGCTTCATTTAGGTAGGTGTCTTCCCTTCCTATTTTTTGCATTGAAATCTCACTGTCATAGAAAAACACAAACCCCCTTCCCCCCCCCCCCCCCCCCCACGGCAAGGTGGGGACACATTCGCAGGAGACTGAAATAGTTTTAAACAATGAACATTCCATGTGTAGATTCCTGGGTCCCATTGTGGGGGAAAACAAGAATAATCTCACTGCCTCTTCAACAAGCATGTGACAATTTTTGACTAACTGAAGGCTTCTTTCGGTTTAAGGTGAAAATGCCTGAGGCTCAAGGAACCAACCGTCTGCACACACATGAGTCCGATCTGTAGAACAATGGTGCACTTATGTTCTGGAACATAATTAAAGTCCAGAGACGAACAAACGAACAAAAATAATTTTCTGCCGGAGTTTACAGCTGGTGAACGCAAACAAGACGAAGCAAGAGAAGAAAAAGAAGAAGAAGAAGAAGAAGAAGAAGAAGAAGAAGAAGAAGAAGAAGAAGAAGAAGAAGAAGAAGAAGAAGAAGAAGAAGAAGAAGAAGAAGAAGAAAAAGAAGAACAACATCAACAACAACAACAACAACAACAACAATAACAGCAACATCAACAATAATATTAGCTGTGAACATTATCGTAAAATTATGTACAATGCTGGATAAACCACTTTTAACGGGGAGTTGGGGGTGTCCTTGGCTTAGCGATAAAGCCGTACGCCTCGAAGTTTGTGCGTTTGTTTCCCGGGCTATGTTGTTCAGATAAAAAGTAAATTTTGTTTCTGAGATCTTTAAATATTGTCCCTGGAGCATCCGAGTTAAAGCTTTGTGCGACATACTTCGGAGGAAGATAACTGTTCTGAGAAGAGAGACCTAGTCTTGTAGGAAAGAACTCCCTATAATTAAATCCAACTTCTCGTATTAAATCTGTTGGTGCTTGCACATAACATATATTAACTGAGACCACACTAGTCGCTCCTCATGACTGAGTTACGCAATGCATTAGTTGTGAACTCTCAATAAGTAAAGTGTTAGGAGTAGATGGATAATCACTAGACATTTAAGTCAGCCGGCTGTCTCTCGCTGAACTGTTTTATTGTGATAACATATCACTTTTCAGAGAACATATGCATTTTAGCCTAGGAACCTAGCACATATGTTGTGTCAGCGTTTTGTTGACTACCCCACCCATCCAGTGCCAATTTGTCTGCAAAAGCATGATTCGGACCTCAAAAGCCCGATGTGACCTGGGCTCAAAAAGGGTTATTTTCTGGGGTTTTTTTAAAACTCTCAAGCAGTTAATATACAGTAATGCAAATTACCATTTTCTACGTCTTCAGACAAATTTGGCACATAGGGCTAAAGCTTTATTTTTAAAACTATCACGCCAACACCCTCCTGATGCTTTCATCAGAAAACAGACATCGATTTACTTGGGAAAATAGAGTACAGAGTTAATAATCAGCAATCTACCAATGTGTAAAACTATAGAAATAGTAAGGGAATGTGTTATCTACATTGCAGTTATTATTTGTGGTAAAAAAAGACACATGATTCATACAGTCTATGTTGATTATACCAATATATTACATGGAAAGAGATGAATATTTATGTGTAAACATTTTTCTTCTTCGTTCTTTTCTCTACTCCTGGAACACCTTGCAGCTTTAGGGCATTAAGAGATCTCTGGAACGCACCCTTCTGTTTGCTTTGTATTAAGTACTTTTCATTGTCTCTGATATTTATGTGGCTCATCTTCTGCATGGTTGACCTCCGGATCTGTTACGGCTTATCTGTATTACATTGCTCTCTGTGGTGCTCTGTCTTATGTCAATCTTGTTGCAAGGCTAAACTATTTAATTTGTTTTCTACCAGTGAAGCTAAGTACTAGTTCTGACCGGCTCTCCTCTTAATATTATCGTTACTAAGACGATCTTTCATCTTTACACTTGCATAGTACGTAAACATTTCATTTCTGTCCCGACTATTTTCCACATTGGAAACAACTGACTTCAATGTCCATTGGTCAAGCAGTTCTGAATGTAAACATACTTATCGTAGGCTCACTCTTTGCTGAATTCACGGGCCCATTTTGGCATAGACAAGACACATTCCTCGCTAAAAAGAATGTCGATAAAGAACCTAATCTGGGGGTTGAAAGGGACCGAATGTCTCGTGCTAAAAAGGCACACATAGCAGTCTAGCTGTAAACCACATAACACCGGTCAACTATACTTTGAAAGACGACGCTGAGAATGAAGAGCTGAAAACTGTCAACCATTTCTTTATCAAATATCAAATACACACATACACAGGCACACATATACTCTTACACACACACACACACACACACACACACACACACACACACACACCGCACACACAAATAATAAAGGTAACATGGATAATTTCTTTAATTTATTGACATAGCTTTTTGCTTTCCAGAATTTTTTGTTTGATAGCTAATCTGCCTACCATCGTCACAAAATATCAGATAAGTAAATAAGAGTTCAGATCTCCATCGGCGTGTGGCCAATGATGATACATTGTCTGTGAGGTTTACTACTCCTCTTAGGCTACCTACGTAATCTGTATGGCTGGCAACAAGAAGTTCTCGGAGCCCTGTCAAGCTAGCCGATTCATAATCGTCTCCGGATTCATCTACACTTCTTGCCTCATTGACAGCATTGAGACGATCCGTCCGGTAACGTGCATTTTCTGCTCTTAACGTAGGCAAACCAAACCGCTCAGTCATACACCTCTTACCCCAAAGTGTCCCAGCATAAATAGTTGAAACAAACACTCCTGTCCTCAGAGACTCCATTTTCTTCGAAACAATTCTATCTTGGACTTCGTAAGCAGGTTCATGGAATCAGTTTGAAAAAGAACATTAAAAATTTTTTTTCCATAATACGTATTAAACTACTACTCATCTTCTTCTTCTTTTCCTCCTCCTGCTCATTTTCTCTTCCTCTCCTCCCTCTACAGTTTCGAGTGTCGAGGGAGATTGAGCTTCATTTTCTTGCTTTTCTGTCTGCTTCGACGATAGACACAGCGTTCTGTTGTAGAGTTTTACTAATGATATCTTTCCATCTTGTTCTTGGTCTAACTCGTTATCTTCGTCCCCCTTTCGGTGTATGCCTTGTACGGTACGGCGTCACAAGGCTTTCTCTCTTAAAAGCTACCATGTTTTGTTTTTAATTACAGAAGATTCAATTGGGCAGAGGCACCTATAAAATAACAGCCGAAATTGAGTTCTGAATCGTGTGCTCATTCTCAGGTACAGGACAATAGGAACACTAGAATTGATGCTCTCGAACAACATGGCAAAACTCCATAGACAGTAAAACATATTATGGTATTTGTCTCGAACATTAAATTCTGGTTCCAAAAACGACATGATGCACAGAATCCCTGCAGGGATGAAACATACAATTAAAATAGTTGCTATGAGAACAACTGTTGCCATTGTTGTTCTATCTCGTTTAGACAAGGATCTAGTTTTGTCTTGGTTCAGATTTGCTTTTCTATAAAATGTATGTTTTTCTTGCAGTTTGTATATTAAAATCAGAGTAAATATAACAACAGCGAGATAAGAAACCAAGCCTACAATTGCATGGATAAAGTAACTTACAACTTCACAAGTTTCAAAGTTATCTTTATAACCCATACTCAAAAAGGATCTATTTATATTTGGGTAAAACTTCCATTCTAAATAAGAAGTTGAATAAATTGCTATGGGAGATAATAAAGTGACTGCAAAAATAACAATCATAACCACGATTGTGCTCCTTAGAGATATCATTTGTTTCACTTGTAGTGGAAACACAATACATAAACATCGTTCAGCAGTGATATAGACTGTTATTAAAGAAGTTATTGTGGTGAACATTTCCCGGGAAAGCGTGGCGGTCAAGAACTGGATTTCAACAAACACGACAGGCACATCAGAATTACTTAACCGCAGATTGACAAACACGTTGAAGACTTGCTGTAAAACCAAGCTGCACAAATCTGAGAGCGCCAGGGAGAAGAAGCCAATATTGATTGTTGTATTCAAACCCTGTCGGTAAAATATGATCAAATTGATGATATTAGCAATTATTCCCAGAAAGCTAATCAAGCCGCACAGGCATGCAAAATTGATCATCAAAAATATGTTAGTGATTTCGTCGGTAAAATACATGGCCACATCATTTATTGATGATTCATAATTATCTATTTCAGAAAATGCTGAAAGGGTCACTATAGGCTCCATGGCTGCTTTCTGTTTGATCACGATTATTTGAAAACTGCAGTGGTAAATTAGATTCTAGAAAACTGCATCGGTAAATTAGATTCTAGAAAACTGCATCGGTAAATTAGATTCTAGAAAACTGCATCGGTAAATTAGATTCTAGAAAACTGCATCGGTAAATTAGATTCTAGAAAACTGCATCGGTAAATTAGATTCTAGAAAACTGCATCGGTAAATTAGATTCTAGAAAACTGCATCGGTAAATTAGATTCTAGAAAACTGTTGGCCTCTGTAAAATGAACACGTAGGTTGTCTTCTTGTCATACCTATAATAAAAAATTTAAAAAAATAACATGGTCAGTTGTGTTTTTAAAGTATGTTGACCTGCCATCCCAAAATTGTTAACCCCCCCCCCCCCCCCTTCCAAACCAAACTGTTCATGCTAGGCAATTTAGTGTTAATTTCTTTGCCATTACCAATTCAACGGACGGCGCTCAATTCATGTTTATGTCAGTATCAACGCAAAGCTGTCATATGCCAAATCGCTGCAGTTGGAAATGAACAGTGTATTTCAGAATTACGAACAGAGTTCCCAACGCCTACTTCACTGACGGCGAGTTATACTTGTATTATTAGTTAATAATACTTCATTTTACAAGATAATGTAATTGCTGCCATGTCCAGTATATATATATAAATATGTATATATATATACATATATATATATATATATATATATATATATATATATATATATATATATATATATATATATACATACATGCACATATATATATATATATATATATATATATATATATATATATATATATATATATATATATATATATATATATATATATATATATCGTGTGTATGATTACTGTGTTTTATTAGCGGTGTCACATAAGTGCAGTGGCTATACAGACTAATACAACATAGGCTGTTCTGCTACTCTGCTGCCAAGCTAACTATCAGTGCCATCAATGTAAGTCAGCTGACGCCTACATTTAAATTGATCAATGCAACTGGAGGTATGCAGCAGACTGCTGAAATAGAAACCTTCAAGAATCTCTACATTTAAAATGGGCACCTCACAGGACTCATAAAACGCTACTACACGACATGAGCAGCAAAAATCTTTCCCAAAAATATTTCGAAAGGACAACTTTCAGGGTCGTCTGCAGGACTGACTTACAAACAATGTTTTTTTTTAAATCTAGTTGCTGTTGTTCCTGTCCTTGGAAACTAGACAACTACTATCATATTCCTTGCAATAAAAAAAATTTAAAAAAAAAGACTTAAAAAAACATTTTCAGTACACCAACAGACCATCGACATAAAGATTCTAGATCACAGCCTAAATCAAGTGCAAGAATTTAAATACTTGGGAAGTATCTTTACATCCAATGGTAAAATAGACAGAGAGATCGAAGCAAGAATCCAACAAGCCAACAATATCGCATACCAGCTTGCCCCAATTTTAAAACACCCTGCTGTCCCAGCTGAGATAAAAAGACAAATTATAAATACAATCTTTATACCGACATTAGGTTATCAATGTCAGACTTGGACATTAACAAAAGAACACGAGAGAAGACTAACCACCTGTGAAATGAGATGTTTGAGAATGGCTGCGAATAAAACCAGAAGAGATCGTGTGAGAAACGATGTGATTACAAGAACTATCGGAACAATACCCATCGTTAAATTTATTGAGAAGCAAAGAATGAAATGGTTTGGTCACCTAATGAGAATGGAACCAACGATGCCAGCATCAAGAGCATACAACATGAAAATCGAAACACCAAGAGGCAGGGGAAGACCAAGAAGAAGATGGATTGAAGGAGTCACGGACAACTTGAGACTTCATAACATCACGGCATATGAAGCGACTGAGCGCGCCCTGGCTCGGTTGCCGATCATCTGATAGACTGCGACGCCTAGCGGCACAAGCAGATTTTGACAAAAGAAGAAGAAGAAGAAGAAGTACACCAAATCATATTTCACATATACATTTAAATTTTAGTTTCCACTTGCCCAACTGAGACGCAGTCTGGTAACAGAGTAGGTGAACCTATCCATAAATGGCTCCACGCACAAGTGAGCAGAGATCCTGCAGGCATGTCGAGATTACCAAAGAGGAAAGAACCCGATTCTGTGATAGAACCTTATTCGTTTATCTCCGGTCATGTAATTATCTGTAAGCTGTGCCTTCCGTGTTATTTACCGCACACCGAACATGCGATTACTGAAACTGGATGAAGCTGTGACAATAAGAGCGGACAATGCTGCGTTGAGAACATGCTGCAAATGTCAAACGTCTGTGGTAACCAGTTAGCTATCCTGAACCTCCAGGGGTGTGGTATACATTGTTACTAGACAGAAACATGTGTTTAGGATTAATTCTTCCTCTTCTTCTTTACTTCTACTTTTACCGCTTCGGGTGTCGAGGGAGATTTAAATCCTGCTATGTGCTTTGCTGGCTGCTTCGATTATAGACAGAAACATCGTGGGGCTGTCGTTACCTGATGTTATCTTCCTATATGGCTATTGGTCTACCCCTTGCTCTCCTCTTTTGGTAAATGTCTTGTATGGTAAAGCATCAGAAGGCATTCTCTTTATGTGGACAAACTATTTAATTTGCTCCCTTTGTATGAAATTTAGAATTGGTTCTGTGCCGACTGTATCTCGTACGATCTCATTCCTGATTTTATCTCTTCTGGTCACTTCTGCAGTCTTTCTCACTTTCTTAGCCACCTCATTTCCATTTTTACTAATGTTCTTTATGTTTTGTTGTGAATGACAACGTCTGGCACTGACGGCATAGGCTAGGAATGAATATGCTTTGTATGAGATGTTTCTTCGTGCTACGTAGGGTTGCCTTATGCTGTAAAGGATGGCCTGCTTTACTGCATCAGATGTTAATTTCTTCATTTAATTTATCATCTTCAGTGAATGTTTTTCCAAGTTGTTTAAACTAATATGCCTGTTTAATATATGTATTCTCTACTGATATATTGAAATTCTGCTTCTTTCTTCTGTTGACATTACTTCTGTCTTTTCGATGTTGACTCTTATATTATTTTATTTACATTCATCGTTCATGGATGCGAGATGATGTTGTAAATTCATGCCTGTATCTGCAGTCAAGGTCGGGTCATCAGCTTATACTGTCAATGTAGGTGACAAACAAGAGTGATGATGAGACACATCGCTGTATTACTCCAGATGTTGCTTTGAATGGTTCAGATGTTCCCTTCATTTATTCTGACTACGCTTCTACATCTCAACATAAACTTTTTGCAAACTTCAATGAGGTATACACCCACTCCATATCGATCGATTACTTTCCATTGTTTTTGTCTATTGACACCGTCGAAAGATTTCTCCTGGTCTACAAATGCTACACATAAGTCTGAGCATATTCGATGTTCTCTTCTATTAACTGTTTACGTTTAAAGATTGTATCTGTGTAGTTTCTATTTCTGCTTATACCCATCTATTCTTCTGTCACTGTGGTTCCATCATTGGTCGCAGCCTCGTTTTTATTATCTTAGCATACGTTTTCCCAGTATGACCTGAAAGTGATATTGTATGCATAATTGCTTGCTTTCCTTGTTCTTCTCCAGTGGTACACCTATTGCATGTTGCCAGTCAATGGGAACAGTTTGTTGAACCCATGCCGCATTGGATATTATATGGAGCCATCTAATGTTGCTCTTACTAGTTGTTTGGATGTTTTCTGTTGGTAATCTGTCAGTTCCTGGTGTTTTAAATTTTGAGGCTGCTTAATTACTTTAACTACTTCAGTATTCAGTGTAACAGGTTCTAGCACTGTTGCTTTGTAGTCTTTGTAGTTGCTTTGTAAGGGGTTAAAGAGCTCAATGAAGTATTATCTCCATCTTTCAGCTATCATTGGCGGTTCTATTATTGGTTTTCTTATTTTATTGTTTTAACCACTGCTGTAGGGTTGCAGCTCTGATCTCTTTTTCGCATATATTTTACTACTTTAAAAAAAGTTCTGCTGTTTTCTCATTTTCTGCTAATGATTCTCGGAAATGTTTCCAGGATTCTTGTTTTGCTTTCTTGATCCTCTGGTTTGTATCCCTTCGTTGCAGTCTACAGTTTACATAATCTTCTCTCTTCGATTTTATCCACTTTTTATAAATGTATTTTGTTTTCTTAGTTGCTTCTTTTACTTCTTCACATCACCAAGGCGAATATTTGTTATAACTCCGTCTGACTCCTTTTTTGTTCCCCACATAATTCTTCAACACTAGTAAGCAAGTTAGTTTTATACACTCCATTCATCCTAAATATTTCCCACCACAAACGATAGCTGTTTGAATGCTCTCTCTACTTTTTTTTTAAACTGGTCTTTTACTCCTTCTTCTTTCAAACTTGCTATCTTTATTACATCATGGCTTTTAGGTAATTTCTTCCTTTGTTTATTAATGACGAGATGTTTTGCTGTCATCATAACTACTTGATGGTCGGCGTCACATAGACAGGAATTGCTTTTGTATCAAGTTTTCCTCCTTCCTTGGACTCTTGTTAATACAAAGCCAGACTGACTCTTGGTGGAGGTGTCATTCCATCTGTACTGTATACCGTTGTGAATATCTCTGGTCGGAAAATGTATTTTTGATAAAGAGACTGTGCTTGCTGCGTAGTTCCAATACTCTTTGACCATTCAATTTATATCACTATGTTTAGCTGAATACGGGCCCTGAAACTGTTCGTTTACGTTTCTGTTATTACCCACATTCCCGTTGAAGTTTCCCATTACATATAGTATGTTGCTAACCTCTACTCTCTCTATCTCTTCAGACAGTTCGTCAAATAATTCATCATTTTTGCTCTATAGCTATCATTGCACTGTGCATATATCTGCATGTACGTTTCTATTTGTTTATCTCGGTTAATTGTCAAATTATTTATTCTGTCTGAGTGAGTACTAACGTCTAATATGTAGTTTGCTATGTCTGAATGCACGAAGAAACCCACTTAATTTTTCG